ATCTTGGCTCACTGCAACCTCCACCTCCCAGGTTCAAGTGATTCTCCTGCCTCAGCCTCCTGAGTAGCTGGGATTACAGGTGCACACCCGGCTAATTTTTGTATTTTCAGTACAAATACAAAATGGGAGTTTCACCATGTTGGTTAGGCTGGTCTCAAACTCCTGACCTTGTGATCCGCCCGCCTCGGCCTCCCAAAGTGCTGGGATTACAGGCGTGAGCCACTGCTCCCGGGCGCCCTTGGCTTTTTCTAGAGTGGGGCTGTGTGCACCACCAAGGATAACCTTAGCAGGGGGTCTTGCTAGGGTCCCAAGAAAAAAATGAATTTATTTTCACACATAAATAATTATATATACTAGTTTACTTCATTTAGATGTTAATGTGTTGTAATTATGGAAGAAATACAAGTTAATACATTAATTTTATGTATGAGCTACTCACTGGCCACATTTAAAGAATTTATTTACCTACAAAAGTGCCTTCTAACTTACATGTTTTTGAGGCCCTAAAGCACATCTGCAAGTCAAAATACAATACTCTTTAATTCTTATATTAATATTTCCTTGGGGATCTTTAGGAGGACAGCTATCAGAATGTGTGCTTTTCACCACCTACAATATATATTTGAATACATATATATGTGTGTGTGCACATAACAGTCATTACACAGACAAGCACTAAAACTTTGTATATTATTTAGTTGATAAGTTAATTATAATTTAAAACATGCATTTTTAAAATTTCCTGTTAAATAGGTTTAAGTCTAGTGCAGCGTTTAAGGCCTGATTTCAAACGGAAGTATTCTTCAATGTTCGAAGACGATACTGTGACAGAATACATCTACCACTGTAATGTACAGACTCCAAGGTGAGGGTTAGGTTTCTCAATTCACTGTGTGTGTGTGTTTTAGACTATTTTTTTTTTTTTAAATATTTGTTTATTTATTTGAGATGGAGTTTTGCTCTTGTCGCCCAGGGTGAAGGGCCATGGCTTCATTTTGGCTCACTGCAACGTCTGTGTCCCGTGTTCAAGCGATTCTCCTGCCTTAGCCTCCGAAGTAGCTGGGATTACAGGCATGCGCTGCCACGCCCAGCTAATTTTTTTGTATTTTTATTAGAGACGGGGTTTCTCCATGTTGGTCAGGCTGGTCTTGAACTTCTGACCCCAGGTGATCCGCCCACCTCGGCCTCCCAAAGTGGCATGAGCCACCGTTCCCAGCCTTTTTTTTAAAATATATCAGTGGTCCAGAAGATTTTTGTCAGTAGTTAAATTACTGAATTTAAAAGGACATGTGTCTAATACATTTTATTTTACTCATCTATTCTTAGAGTACCCACTGTATAAAACATTGTGCTGAGTTCTGATGGCGGATTAAAAAGTGAGATGTTCACTCTTCCCTCAAAGTTCTTATGAATAAGTTATAGAAGTCTTGGTCTTGGGCATCTCCAAGAGACGGTTTGAGTTGAGAGTTGAAGAATTTCACATGAAGTATTTCCCAAACTGAGTATGAATGTTTCATCAAAAAAAGAAAAAAGGGTGCAGATTAAACAAAAGTAAATGGGTGTCTGTACTATGAATTATCCTTTACTATACCGAAGGGTATTGAATTTCCCAAGTGAATGGGAGATGCTGTGTAGTATTTTTCAAGTCCATTTGATGATTGTACTCCTGAACAACTCTAAACATCTGTAGGTCAGCCTTAGAAATGCAGCTGCAGAGGGTGAGGCGGAAGTGAGGGATTCTGCATGTATTTTGACAGTGATTAGAAGGAGAGAGACAGAATGGGGCATAGTAGCAGAGGGAGCAAGAGGGCCAAATGTATTTTTTACAAATACTACTTATGGATGTTGGGTGAAAAGTACCAGTAGAGAAAACATAGCCTGACGACAGTGGTGAACTAGGAGGAGGCCAAACGATAAGGCCCTAGAGTTTCTAGGAGGAGCAACAAGAATAGAGTGCAAAGATGAGAGCTACAGTTCTCATGCTATGTCGTGTACTGAAATTATTGGGGGTGCTTGTTAAAATGTGACTCCTGAGGCTAATTTCTAAGACTGAGACTAGCATTTCTGGGCTGCATCTCTAACAAATACTCTGGTGATTCTGCATAGGTGGGTCATGGAGCACACTTTAAGACACAGAAGTGGTATCTCATCCTTTCTAAGACTGAGGTTTGGATGAAACGCTAAGAGGGGAGATGCAGAGGCGGCCTCCCTCCCTTTTATTTCCTCCCTCGCTTTTGGCAGATAATATGTACACCTACTTTATTAAAAAGATTGAGGCCATGGTAGCTATTTATAGGTGTAGCTGTAGCCTCAGTCTTTTTAGTAAAGTAGGTTAGAGGTTCTCTGCCAAGAGTGAAGGAGGCTAGAGGTTCAAGGTCCTCAAGAGATTGAGGTTTTGTGACTTGCTAGGCAGTCAGATCTTGTGGATTAGGTGAACACATTGATTGACTTGCTCCAACAGCGGTTTTTAGGGGTCTGCCCCAGGAACATCATTCCTTTTCCTGCATGGTCTAAGTTTTACTCTTCACGTCCTCTTATTTCATGATTACATGTGTTCATGTAGTCCTAGTTTGCTACCTTTCTTGTGGTGAGACTTGAATTCTTCATAGAAGGCAGGTTAGAACTTTGTCTAGTTCTGTAAGAATAGCAGAAGTGGCCGGGCGTGGTGACTCACGCCTGTAATCCCAGCACTTTGGGAGACCGAGGTGGGCGGATCACAAGGTCAGGAGTTTGAGACCAGCCTGACCAACATGGTGAAACCCCATCTCAACTGAAAATACAAAATTTAGTTGTGCGTGCCTCTAATCCCAGCTACTCAGGAGGCTGGGGCAGGAAAATTGCTTGAACCCGGGAGGCAGAGGTTGCAGTGAGCCAAGATTGTGTAGCTGCACTCCAGCCTAGGCAACAGAGCGAGACTCCATCAAAAAAAAAAAAAAAAAAAAAAAAAATAGCAGAAGTGACAGCAAATAGACCTATCCTGAGAGTTTGCAAGAATATATTATCTGAGTTTCTTAACTTGGTAATGGTTTTGGCATTGCAGGTGAAATGCTGGTGCCATGAACCTGGGGATAAGCTACCTTCTACATCAGTTTAAATAAGGGTGAAAAAACATATTTTTAACTATCTCCACAATAAATAATTTAATGATAGAAAATTAAGGTTGTACATTTTGGTTTACAGGAAAACTTTTTAAAAAATCAGCTAAAGTATACAGCAGCCTTGCTTATCTAACAGTGATCTGTGAGATTTATTCCTTACACTATCTCATAAATTATTGTCTATTTAAGCTGAGGTTTTTCTTAAGTGCTGGAAAAGCTAAATATGAATGTGTTTTGATAGAAGTGACAGTGCAATGCATACTCATTCCCAAAAATCATACATTGTGATTTTCTCCTTGCTGTTAAAGTGGTGAGACAGCTTTCAAGAATATGACTATTCCTTATGGATGGGCAAAAAGGCCAATGCTCCAGCGAATTGGTAAAATGCACCCTGACATTCCAGTTTCAGTGATCTTTGGCGCCCGCTCCTGCATAGATGGCAATTCTGGCACCAGCATCCAGTCCTTACGACCACATTCATATGTGAAGACAATAGTAAGTGTGTGACTTGATTTGGGTTTTTAGGTATGAGTGAAGTCTGTTTTATTATCTCCTTTAAAAGAGGTTTTAGGTCATCCTGGTGTTACAGGTCATCTAAGCTATACCTGCAGCCTCAGTCAGGGACCTGATACCACATGTGTTGGGTGCAGGGTTTGGCCTGCATACATCTTCATGTCCAAACCATGAACCACCTTTCTGAGTGACTTTTCCTGTCCCTAGAGCCACAGCATTAAGAGAGATGGACAGAGGGACTGGTCCAGTAGCTCTTAAAGTAATTCCCACCTCACAAGGCGGCACAGTCTCACTTTTTTCAGTTTCTCTATTGGCACTTTTATTAGTGGTCAATTTAGTGTTTTTTGCGTATTAAAATTGTATGTAGATTCAATCAGTAGATTTTTCTATTCTCAGATCCTTTTAATGGATATACTTAATAGTCCCTATAGATTATTGTTATTTTTTATCATGTGTTTTATTTAAATATAGTGGCTCTCACTTTTATTACTAAGTATCTTTGCTTATATATCATTGTGTTTTATTAAATGCTTTTACTCACTAACCACCTGAATGCTTTTCCTTATCCAGGCTATTCTTGGGGCAGGACATTATGTATATGCAGATCAACCAGAAGAATTCAACCAGAAAGTAAAGGAGATCTGTGACACTGTGGACTGAACACACTGAAACTCTGATGGGAAAACCTGGTTACTGATACAGTTGTTCAGCAATAATTCATAGTATATGCTGAAGAGTAATGAATACAACACAAGAACCAGGCAGCCTTCTTGACTATACTTTGCACATGTTTTCTTTAGGAATTCACTCGCACATTTAAACCAGTTAGTGCCTTCTAGAAGAATGGCTTTCCTTTCTCCTACACAAAATTAAAATATACAAGTCTCTAAATTTAATACCTTTAAATAGAAGGTTATTTGTCCCTCTCATGTACTGAAAAACTAATTTTTCAGCTGAAAAATTTTTATCTAATTTTGCTAATCAGTTACTTTTTATATTGCAATCTATATTGCCAATTTAGGAAGTGATTTCTGAGTCTCTTACACTGTAAAGGTGCACTTTATTTTCTTTGTCTTCCCCATCATGTATTTATTGTGTCTGATGACTGATATTAATCTAAATTCAATGTGTTTTTATGTAAAAAAATCTGTCAGTTGTTTAGAATATTTCACTTTGTTTTTGAAATGGAGCAACAAGGCAGAGTTTTGGTTAAAGGATGGGAGTTGATCACTATCATTACTTTTTCTAGTTTACCTCTTTTTTATATTTAAGGCTGCTAAGCCATGTTCAGCATTTTAAATGTGGTCTATCCTGACATACACAGTGTATAACAACATAACTCCTTGGAACCTCCTATGTGTGGTATGATTCTACACTTCCAAGGAACATGACTTTAATACTTCAGTGATTCAGGTACTGAAAAGCCTTAGCTGAAAGGCTGTTCTTTGTTTCTCCCTTTCATACTATTCTTTTCCATGACCCAGGATACAGCAAATGAAACAAATTTCTTCACTTAAGGGGATATTAAGACTGTTACTTCCTAGTAAGCTGAGTAATGTCGTATTTTTATTAACATCTAACTTTTGTAGATGGGTGCTAAAAATGCATACATTTTAACCACTAAAATAGAAAAACAGGTGGTGCTATTATGTCTCATGGCACCAGAAATGAGCTAGCACTTGGGTTTGTTGTTGTTGTTGTTTATTAAGAGTATTGTGTTAATTAAATCATTACATACTTGAAGTTATATTACAAAAATTCTAAAAGGTTGATTGAACTATTTTTTTAGGAACTACCATCAAGTGTAGAATTTTCTTGCAGTTTTAAAATGAGGAAAACTTCTTTGAAACTGTGAAAAAGCTCCATGTGGTAACTGGCTGCTGAGAAAACCCTTCACCAAAAAAATAAATAAAAATTGAATAGGATTGTCATCAAGAAGGCATCTTTGGCTAACATTGCTTGTCCAGGAGAAAGGTAGCTATGTAAATAAAAACAGTGAACTAGAGCAAATAGTGGTTTAATGGCTTTGTTATTGCATTTTGAAAATGGTTAATTAGGGAATTTGTAGTTGTTAGGAAATGTAAGGTTGTATCACTGTTGATTAACTGCCAGAAAGACTGAATGTTCTGTTTTCAACATTTCTCCCCTACAAAAGAATAGACAAATTATACTGAAGCATGATATAAACATCTTCCCAATGAACAATTTGTCTCACTTGTCAGATTAACTAGGTTAGTGTAGGAAGGCAGCATGAGCGCCAAGATGTATTGTCTGATTTCTCTACCTTAAGAACAATAATAGTCTTTTTTTTTTTTTTTTTAAATGGAGTCTCGCTCTGTCGCCCAGGCTGGAGTGCAGTGGCACAATCTCGGCTCACTGCACGCTCCGCCTCCCAGGTTCACGCCATTCTCCTGCCTCACCCTCCCAAGTAGCTGGGACTACAGGCACCCGCCACCACCACGCCCAGCTAATTTTTTTTGTATTTTTAATAGAGACGGAGTTTCACCGTGTTAGCCAGGATGGTCTCGATCTCCTGACCTTGTGATCCACCCGCCTTGGCCTCCCAAAGTGCTGGAATTACAGGCTCACTGAGCCACCGCGCCCAGCCAATAATAGTCTTTTTAGTTAGTATCTTGGATGGCCAAGTTTCAAACCTGTATGTGGTACAAATAATTTGGGTAATATTTTTGTTTTTTTGTTTTACACACTCTCTAATCTCAATTATCCTTTGCTGGGAGAATGACAGGTTTCACTTATACAGGAAGGTTTTTGCACAGGAAATTTGGTCCCAGCCCTTGGAAGGAAGAAGTTCCTTGGTTTACTTAATGAATGGAGTTTCTGGCCACAGATGTACCAAGTGATTCAAGAAAAAGATATACCCGAATATCAAGTGATACTTTATTTTCCTACAGACTGAATTTGCTTTATATGAAAGATGTTGTAACTCTTTTTAAAGTTAGATTTTACCCTGTGGTGTAGTATATGTAATTTTGTGAAGATTGAGCTGGAAGGGAAGTTCACAATCCTCACATTTAAAAAAATATAATGGGTGCTAAATGTTTTCTTAAAAATCTATTACAGCATTTGATCTTTGCCTACTTATGCACAGCGTACTTTTATCTTATTTTACAGAATAAATTTTCCTGTGATAGTCACTATAGACAGCTGTGTATTTTCTTAAGTCTTTTGTATGGACCAGTCTCTGTATAATAGTTAACTACAGGACCATGGATCCAGTGAATGTTCAGTAAATGCTGCTGCTGTTCTTAGGGAAGGCTAGCTACTCTGGGTGTTGTGGCTGCCATACATGGCTTTACCTGTGTCCATGCATTCCCTTGAGATGATTTCTGTTTTCTTCTTTTTTTTTCTAAGACTAATATTCCAACAAAAAAGTTGCCTAAAGTTGGTTTTAGAATATGATTTGCAGAACACTTTTGAAATGTCTTCATTCATATATATAATATATATTTATATTTAAAGGGCCATACCTGATTTCAATAAAACAAGAAGTTTTTCCTTATACCAAGGTACTGGAAAGAATAAACAAAAATAGCTGGGAGATGCCTAGAAAGGAACAATGTGGAAGGAGGGATAACTCTATTAAATATTATAACATAATGTTTACAATATGAGAAAGTCTAGGAATTTAGTACATGATAAAGGAAGCATCTCATTCAGAGAAAAAGGCTTTAAAAATGGTGTTGAGACAAGTGTGGTTAACCATCTGGAAAAAAAATAAAATTGAATCGATTTCTCACAGGGTACACAGGACAAAATCTGAATAGATCAAAGACCCAGTGTTTAAAATGAAACCCTCTTTCTAACTAGAAGAAAACATAGGTGAATTGTTGTATAATCTGACAGAAAAACTTTCTTAGGACTGAAAATTCAGAAGCAATAAAAAGAAAAGTCTATAGAAGAATTTTCAGCCAGATGCAGTGGCTCATGCCTATAATTCCAGCATTTTGAGAGGCTGAGGCAGAAGGACTGCTTGAGACCAGGAATTCAGAACCAACCTGGGCAACCTAGTAGGACTGGCTCTACAAAAAAAAAAAATTTAAGTACCTGGGCTGGGTTCCACCTACTTGGGAGGCTGAGGTGGGAGGACTGTGAGCCCAGGAGTTTGAGGATGCAGTAAGCCACTGCACTTCAGCCTGGGTGACAGAGAAGAAGAAATATTTTTTTGGATAGCTGAAAATATTTGCAGCATTTATCACAGAGGGCTAATTGTAGCCCCACATATGAAGAATTTTAAACTTTGAGAAGAACCTGAAGATTAGGCAAAAAGATATGAACAGTTCACAGAAAATAAAATGCAAGTGGCCTTTAAACATATGAGGATATGCGTAAAAAGACAAATGCAAAATAAAATAAAATAATGGAAATACCTTTCTTACCTGTCAGATTGGGAAAAATCCAAGTTAGGCAATGCACTCTGTTGAGTCAGTAGGGAAACAGGCACTCCAAAAAGTACAAATCCCTATGGATGGTATTCGTTAACTAGCAAAATTAAACGAGTATATCCTTCAACCTGGCAGACCCAGTTCTAAGAATCCATATGAGATGCACTTGCAAGAATATGAAATGGTATATGCACAAAAGTCTTGATTACAGCACTGTTTCTAATGGCTACAGACTGGAAGCCAACCAAATCTCCATTGATAGGGAATTGATGGAAGGAACTAGGGTATATCTATACAATGGAATACTACACAGCTGTAGAAAGGACTGTGAACTATTTTTGTACTTCTGGTCTAGAGAAATCTCCAGAATATAGGAAATGAAAAATATAAAGTACAGAAGAGAATGTATGGTGTGCTATCTGTTGTATAACAAAGAGACAAATGGAAAAAATATATATGTATTTGCTTTTCTTGTAAAGCAATAGAAGGATTAGTTATACCAATAACTACTAAAATAATCCCCTTATTAGTGGTGGTAGGGAGCTAGACAAGGATGGCAACTATTTCTGTATCTTACATACCTTTTACTTTGAGGCCCTGTCAATGTTTTATATAATAAACATTTTTTGAAAAGGCAACTCTTAAAACTAAAACAAACTTAACAGTCTGTCAAGTTGGTGGTATAGACCCACAGAAGAATTACTTCAAGTGACTTGAAAGCCTAGTATTTTGTCTATACTTTGCTAGTGAAATATATCCTATAGACCAAACAACCACAAATAAATCTTAAACTGTATTCAATAGTTTTTTGTTTTTCTTTTTTAGCAATGATATTGGTAGTATCATTTGAGTATTTATATGTGTTAAAGCAAATATTTACTTGTGTCATTGGAATCAAGGGCCAAGATTTTCAGCGGAGGAGAAAAGAGACACAAGAATATAATAAAGAATCATGATTTTATTTCTGAAAAACTCATATTGCATAGCTTTGTTCACTGAAAAGGCCTAGAAATAATCACAGCTCAATAGTAAGACCCACCCTCGCACCCAGACTGTCCCACTAAAAGGGGGCAGACAAAGGACAAGATGAGTCTGGAATATTTTGTGTCAGCAGTCAGAGTAAGGTTGTGTCAAAAGGACCCAGGAGCTAACCTGAAGGGGTTTCCATTGGCCAAAGATGGGTTAATGTGAGCATCGGAAAGAGTAATGGGTTGAAACATGAGATCATGATGCTATTTAAAAAACTAATTGGTCACTTTTGGAGGTTACTAGGGCACCAATTCAATATTTTGAAAATTGCTCACGGGAAAAATGAATCATTTATGCCAACTTCTTTGTGTATCACGTTACCCTGATAAGGGAAACTTCTTCATGTAAGAATCATAGGTAAATAGGAGAGGAATGATAAGATTAGGAAATCACCATTTTGCCACCTCTAATGAAGTAAGAGATCCAGCTGCTAAAAGCATGAAATAAAAAGTTGATGAGAAGCATTTATTGGATGGCTCAGGTTCATAACATCTGAACCCGATGTTCAATCTTAGTATTACTGAAAAAGGAACAATGAGACATGTTTCTGTTATGTTGCAATAGCAAGAACCCAACATACCATGTTGAATTATGATGAATTACTGCCTAAAACAAATGAAATTGAACCTGAATCTAATCAAGCCTCTACATCTAATGATAAATAAAAACACACAGGATATTGAAAAGCACATTAATATGCTAAATCTAGAATGTGGGAAATTCCATGGGACAAAAATTCCAGTTTCTTCAACAAATTGAAGCTGCAAAATAAAAGTGTTAGTAGGACTTTAAGACTTAGAGAAACTTAAAGGACCTTGTTTGGATACTTATTTGACCTTGTTTGGATACTTTATAAAAAGACATTTTTGAAGCAATTAGAGAAGAGTTTATAATGGACTGAGTATCAGAAGATATTAAAGAATTATTAATTTTGTTGGGTGAAAGTATAGTGACTTTTATTTTTAAAAAAAACCCCTTACCTTTAGAGGTACATGGTGTAGTATTCATGGTTGAGATTTTAACTAGGATTTACCTGGAAATACTCCAGGAGAAAAAGTCAGTTGTCAGAAAATAGATAAAATGAGCAGAATGTTATGTTGATGCTGGGTGACAGACACATAGGAGCTTATGTAGGGTCTATTCTATTTCCTCTACTTTTATACATGTTTAGAATTTTCATAGTAGAAATTTAAAGAATAAAAAATAGGAAAAGAGATTGGATAAAGCCAGTATGGATAACTCTTTCTAGGCATAAAGAAAATAGAAAGTAGGTAATAGCTGGAGGGAACCCTTGTGAATAACCCAGCAGAAAGAGGGGGAAAACATGGTGCAAACGAGCACGGTTGGGGTGATGTAACAGCAAGGCTAAGGGCAAATAGGAGCTCTCATATACTATCAGTGGGCTGTAATAGGTACAACCCCTTTGACAAGTCTTTTCACAGTACTGTATATGGCAAAATTGTAAGTGCTTCACACCAGCAATTTTGTTTCCAAGTTTCTATCCCACAGATACTCCAGCTTCAATATGCAAAGGCATCCACAAGATGTTCATTGCAATATGGTAATATTAGAAG